ACAGCAAGCTTTCTAGTCGCGTAGGTAATATTACAAGGGTGGGGGGGGGAGGGAGGGCGAGAGCAATTTTGATAACTGGAATATTCGCAAAATTCCCGCGGATGAAAAGTTTCTTACGCCATTGCAGAAACTCGTAAAAATTTTAGGCGCGCACGTGACCGCGGCTTGAAATCACGCAGAATACTGGAGGAACGAGGCCGGGGGAGGAGGGGGAGGGGGAGCCGATCCAATTCTGGCGAGAACAATAAATACGACCTGGTGAACCAGAGACACGATTTCCCAGAAACCTTCTGTCTGTATCTCGACGTAAGGTCGGTTCGCACGCGATAATCGATCGCACCTGTCACCGCTGCGACCCCACCTGGAGAGGGAGGGGAGAAGGAGGAAGAGAGGGGGAGCCAGTCGCGACTTAGATACAATAAAAACTCAAATTCAATCTATTTTCATCGTTGATCATTTCAACTAAATAACGAAAGTTAAGTATCATCTAGTTTTCACGGAAGAATGAATTGTATTAGATTTTTTTTTTTTCATTTTTCGTTTGTTCGTAACCTAACCTAAAATTACTGACTGGAATAGAACATTAATTAGATACGATAGTTTTGAACGTAATTCGAGATTAATTTAAAACTGAGGACATCAATTGGTCACAGTTTCTGTGTCGAATAAACTATTCAAACTGAATTCTGTGTACGAACGACGATCTTCCGGTTTGTTTCTGAACCTAACCTAAATTCGACCGGGCTCGAAGTAGCTGGATACGAGGTTTTTAACGTGATTCGAAATTAATTTCAAACTGAGGGCATCTGTGAATTCAATTGATCAGAATTTTTGTCGTAATGAACTATTAAAAACCATTGAATTGTAAATTGAATTCTGTACGAAGCACGATTTTCTAGTTTGTTTCTGAACCTAACCTAAATCTCACCCGATTCAATGATATTGACGGGAACAATCCAAGAGTTCTGCAATATTACGTTTCTGTTCATAAGCGAAATTTAATCCGCACTTAGACTTCTGTCTCAAGACTCAGTCACGATTTCTATTCTACGTTTCTAGGAACCTAACCTAATCTAAATCTAATTGTAAGCGAGGATCAAGGAGCTATGATTGAAATTCACGTTGTTAAAACGTATTTTCTAAAGAAATCTTTTTATTTTAATGTCGGTTTAGATTCGGCTGTGTTACTACGTTGCGTAGTTTTATGCAAATTTGAATATTTGAGAATATAATTAACTGTTTTACCCACGGTAGAGAACGGT